TCACCTTCCGGGTGCTTCCTCCTCTTGTAGGAAGTAAATATTTTTGACTTTGTTATTTCACTAAATGAAGAAGTGTTTCTACCGTGTCTTTTTGTAAAATCCATAATGCTTCATCTACAGGCTCCTCCGGAAATCTCTCCAAAAATCTCTGTTATTTGTTATAGTGATAACATTACAGATATTATTCAAAAACGTTTTCAGGTAGAATGCCATCTGTATTTTCCACAGCTCGATTTGCATGAAGTTTGCAAGAAGCATGGCATCACGTTGACTGCATATGCACCACTTGGATCACCCGGACGAGTTGACTGGGAAGTACCAAAACGAGGGTACAATGCTTTTTTATACTGAGAAAATACCTGAAAATTAGTAATTTTACTCGCTCCATAGTGATTCGCGAACTCTTACATTGAGAAGTTTATCTGCTTCCAGTGAAAGATTTTAATTTTTCTCTGGCATGTTTTATGAAAATATTCTGCTGGTACGTCATGGCCTAGGTTTAGCAATATTCGTATGAGGTACTGATAACCGAAAACACCAGTGGAACGGATAAAGCCTTACCAAATACCTCTGTGAAGAGAACTGTTGAGCTGATAATCTTTTCAAGAGATTAAACAGAAACGTAAAGATCTTCTGCAGACTGACCATTAGGCACTGGTCAGAAATATGAAAGAGCCGAAACGGCTAAAGTCTTGCTGAATGCCTTTGTGGCGAGAATTTCTAAATTAATAATTCCCTCAATAAACGTTAGAATCGTCAGCAGACTGACCATTAGGTATTGTTGAGAACTGAGGAAATTGCCAGAGGCGCAATTAAAGAAATTAAAGACACTGTATCTGAACTACAGCTGATCAAAGTATTTATTACGGTGTAATGTGACGGAGAGAGCGATCGAACGAAGAATACTTGGAGTATTTTTGTGAACACGGCGAACTTCCCACCAAGCGAGGGTATGGTCATTTGAATTGGAAGAGAAAGCAAAATTTGATATGGTTGATTTTACCACTAGTCGATAGATGCTGCATTGAGCCCTCAAAAGAAAAATAAAACTTATAGTAGTAAAAGCAGCAAATGCAAATGTAGACTTATCTTAGTACCACAAATTCCCCACTCGAAAGCCTGGATGATCCTAATAAGTTTTTTATTAGGAGCGAAAATAAATTTTTTTAATATTTGTACTCTGTCCAAACTGAGTTCCCTTTCTGACTTCTTGAATAAAACTTTTCTGACCTTATGTTTTACTTTTTAACGCGAATTGGACTTCTCTGTAGTTGCGCCTTCTTGTGACTGAGATCTGCACTCAGTCAGTTCACCTGCCCTCATTTTTATCTTCACAGATTTTGAATCGTTCTGGGCAAAAACGACTACTATTTTTCTTCATCTTCTTTCTTTAAATACAATATTCAGTTTTTTACTTACCCCCGTTACTCGATTACTTGCAACTCATAATCTCTTTTATTCATTTTCAAATCGATTCTTCCAGAAAAATGCAATGGGCTGAAGCAAAATCGGATATGGAGAACGAGCTAGTGAAAAAATTTGCGAAAAAGTACAATAAAACTCCGGCACAGATTTGTCTGCGATATCTCATCCAGCGAGGCATCTGCGTTATCCCGAAAAGTGTCAAGGAAAAACGGGTGCAGGAAAATTTCAACGTAAATTTTTTTGCTGATAAGAATGGTCTGGAGATTAGAACGTTTATGGCAAAATTCTGATTAGCCTATGCTGATTCCATGCATTTTAAATGAAAATGATCAATTATTCTCTCTCCTTATATTCTCTTGTCCCTTCCCATAAAATTCTTTTTTGTCGTCTTATTTCATTAATCCCTACTTCTTATTTATTACATAACACTGCGACTTATATCGCAACTGTCGTACTTGAGGTCTAGTTGTTGTGCTGAGTTAAGGCGTACGCATCTTAATGAGTCGAATCGTTTTAATCTCAGTTAAATCATTATTTCTTTGTATGTTAAGATGTATGAATCTTCAGCCTTAAATTCAAATCGAAGTCTTCCTGATTTTCCAGAATTTCAACGAAAAACAACTCTTTTCAGGTATTTGACTTCAAACTTACCGATAGCGAACTACAGGAGCTGATAAACATCAAACACCGCCAGCGTCTCTTCTTCTTTGATTAGTAAGTTTTCCGGAGTTCTTTGATTTATTCTTCTTTACCAGGATCACCAAAATCTTCCGAACAATTGAGACGGGATTCGGTTTAGTCTTTATTGGGATGTCCCAAAAAGCCGGGAGCCGCTGTGCCAGGTAAAAAAAAGTTATTCCCTCGAATCCGACCGTCTAACACACTCAGCTTGCTTTGGGTGCTGCAAAAACTTACCAGCGAGAATTTTGCCGCATTCGGCGACTCTTTTCTTCGTAGTCCACTCGGTTTCTCCGTCTTTTCGCTTCATTCCTCTTCAGCGATTTCTCTGCGCCTATTACGCTGATTTCCTGCATCCAGAACTCTCATTCTAACAGTAGGGATTTCAGTGGATCAGCTGGGAGTTATTGATATGTAACCTACAACGTCCATGCTTCCTAGGCTGCTTGTATGCAATTCTTGACTTTCTTTTCAGCATGATCAATCATCCAGAAGATCCGTTCAAGTCGGAAAGACAATGAAACGATCAAGGATCAAGGCGAAAGGCAGTGTTGAATATCATTAAATGTTTTTGTAAATTTTAGATTTTAGTATATCACTGTTATTTTAATACCTCTGTTCTCAAATTTTTTAGTGATAAATAAATTGTCTGTTCATTTGTCTCAACTGTTGTCGGACATAATGGCTTTCACGTAGGAAAAACATTCATATCAGACTGCCGTCTGCGCGATTTTGTGCTTCCTTAACTGCACCAGTGATTCTTCTTTGTGAAAAAATTCTTTTCAGTTTCGGCGTTATACTGATTCTGTAGTATGGGTACCCTGCTCTGTTCCCTAAAAAGAGAGACTTAGCAGCGATTTCTCGAGCGATGAGTCACGTGCCGACATTCCAGCACCTGTAATTTCGCGAAATGGTTTATTGTAGGTACCGGGTAATTGTCGCATATTCCTAGTGCAAGTCTGCGATCGCATTAGTTGGGTGTGAAATATATTATTACTCTTAGTGCTATAACTAATCTTTGAAAAAGTGACCCATCTGCTTGCCTGTAACGAATCTTCGAAGGATGGTACCAGCGAAAGCTTTACCAGAGCTTAGTTACTGCACTTGCTACCCTTGGAATATTTTTCGGGTCTTAAAAAGAATTTATTATATTGTAAATTTCTGAGATGGCCATGTGATGAAGCTGTATTATCAGGTGAAAGAAAGTGATGTGCGCGAAGTGGTTCTAAAAAAATTCGACAGGACCTCAATTTTTCAGATGGGTTTTACTCAGTAGTAAGCAAAAT